AGGAGTAATTCTCAAAACATCAGTCTGGAGAGATGATATGAAATTTTTGTTTCATCTCACTCAAGTGTTCCGATTTTTTTGAGAAAAAGGGGCATTTTCCATTGATCAAGTTTCAAAAAATATTTAACATCAACAATGCGAGGTGTTACTCCAGAGTTATACTAGCAATCTTGGCCTTCATTTTAATTCCTTCAACAAGGACATTGGTTTACAGAGCAACTGTACAACGAAAACGACTAATAATTTGGCTGAAATACTGGATCTATACAAAAAGACTTTAAGCTTTTTGAAAAATCACTGGAAACGAGAGCCATCTATACTACAGATACCCAAAATTAATCAATTCACAGAGCGTGCAAACAAAGTAATGGAGGAAATTATTCATCATACAAAAATAAAGACAAATCGCACCTTTGATTCCTACTGTGCAACAAGCAAAAGCAAGGTCAACGGTCTGAGTTAATTATGGATCAATTAAAATCCAATATTTTGGTATCTTTCTTAAACTGAAATGTTTTCATTAGTATTCTTTTCATCACTGTTATTGTTGTTATTACTATATCTTTATCATGATAAATTAATATTCTTACTGTTGTTATTATTGTTAAATTTTTATATTACTGTTTTTGTTATAATAATTACCGCTGTTGTCATTATTGTCATTATAATTGTTGTTTTTATTTTTATTTTTGCTATTATTATTATTATAAAGGTATAATATAAATTTGTTATAACCTTTACTATTATTTTAAATCGCTCAGGAACAAAAATTATATTGGGGGAGGGGGAGGGGGAGGGCAGTGCTGGATTAAACGGTCCCAAAATAGTTTTAAGAAATATTTTTTTTATTTTTTCTCCAAATAAAAAAAATTTCTGCAGTGAGTTCTTGAACTATTTTTTTCGAATTTCAAAACGGTTTTTTTGTGATTTGAAAAAATGAAGACCATGTCAACTTTTATGAGAAAATCCGTATCTTTTTGCGCGTTCCTGAGAAGTATATTGAAGTGAGAAGATTGTTTATATCTTAAAGTTGTTAACCAGCTTTTTAACCAGTTTTGTTAAACAGTTTATATCTTGAAAAACCTCCTTTTCTTTCACTTCCAGATTTGCGTTTGATCGATTTTGTTTGGGAAAAACATTGAAGAACAACTAACGGTGAAGAGGAAATGTATTTGAATCAGATAACTAACACAAGTAAAATAATAAAACTCACCTCAAAAAGAAGTATTATATAAATGCTGAAAATATTCAGGATGGAAATCAAGTTTTGTTCCAACGTATTGAAAACTCAATAGTCGATTCCAGAAAAAATAATAATATTGTAATATTACAGTAATATATATATATATATTATATATATATATATATATATATATATATATATATATATATATATATATATATATATATATATATATATATATATATATATATATTAATTGACGACATCTTGTATGAGAGTTGAATAAATTTAATATATCAACACCATTGAATACGAATTCTCTTAATAATAAATAAAAAAATTAGTACTGAGAGAACTAGTATTCATTGATGTTCATATATACATATATATATATATATATATATATATATATATATATATATATATATATATATATATATATATATATATATATATATATATATACTCTTGCATGTCTCTTGCATGGCATCAAAAAAAGTTTCCCATAAACTGTAGTTTTAAAGAGCGCGTTAATAAACCAGACCAAAAAAAGTTTGAAAAATTAAATTTTTTTATTAATTGATAGACTGCCTGGCCAAACCAAACCCTCAGTCGATGTAGCAGCACTCTCTTGCGAGTCAGGCTATTTGTCAGTCGTTGTAGCAGCACTCGCTTGCGAGTCAGGCTATTTGTCAGTCGATGTAGCAGCATTCCCTTGCGAGTCAGGCTACTTGTCAGTCGATGTAGCAGCACTCCGTTGCGAGTCAGGCTATATGTCAGTCGATGTAGCAGCACTCCGTTGCGAGTCAGGCTATTTGTCAGTCAATGTAGCAGCACTCCGTTGCGAATCAGGCTATAAGATAGTCGATGTAGCAACATTTACGCATGTTTTAAAAATGTTTTTTATTAAATCAATAACAAAAACACCACTAATTAAAAAAAACTTTCTAGTCGTTATAATTGCGGTTTTTTAAAAAATTTTTAAAAAACAAATAAATTTAATGTACTTCCGCATAAATTAATTGCTTTGACATTTCGATGACAATCAAAAACAGCTTAAGAGACGAGGTAATTAAAATTGTAGTCGTAAGAGACTTTTTTTACATTAAAATGCTCTTAAAGCGACACTATATGAGTATATATATATATATATATATATATATATATATATATATATATATATATATATATATATATATATATATATATATATATATATATATATATATATATATATAAAGGAAGGTCGAATTTAATTACACATAGTGCGTAATTAAATTGCAGTAGTTACAGTGAAAATATGATTATCCTCAAAATTTGAGAGATTTTGGATGAGAAATCGCTTGCGATATCAAAATAAACATTAATTTCGCAATTTAAAACATTTTGAACAGGGGTATAATTATTTTTAGAAAAATATTTTCAATTAAAAAATATCATCATAAGAATCAGAATAATGTTCATTTTGAAATAGTAAGTTAGTAATTTGGTTAAAATACAGCTATGTCGATTATCAAACCCATAAACATATTAGGATGCTTCCAACACTAGTTTTACCGCTTGCTCAACATTTTGGGAATGAGACGGAAAGCCAGGAATTTCACGTACAACCTTATTGTCAATCATATATTGGATTTGCTCAATTGAAAAATTTTGTGTTGTAGGGGCTCCGTAACTTTTTTAATGCTGAATTCAACCAACTCATACCAATTATCACCATTATAATTAATTTCCGGAATTTTCTTCTAATTTACTATTAAATCTTCGTTGTTTTCTGTATAAATATAAACCGAAGTCAATTACCACATTTAATGTAATTTTTTTTTCAGTATAGCATATAGCATTTTTTTCATATAGCATATAGCATGGCATATATAATATTTTCAGGTATTAGACACAATGCAAATATTTTTAATGTTTTTTTTAAACAATAGTACAGTGGGCCAGAATTAAAAAAAAAATAGAAAAAATAGAAAAACTCTAAATATAATCATATTATACATCTAATCATATGTATTTGGGGTCAGAGAATTCATTTCTGACACCAAAATTAGGTTTTGACTATTCTAAACTGAGCTTGGAAACACAAATACCCCAAAAAGTTGTTTCCTTAACCCTAAAAGTAAGGGCAATGAGTTAATGATTTAAATTTTGTTACAATTTCATGCTAAATTTAACTAAATCAGTAGATTTTGAATTTTACGGAATAATCTTTCAGTGATAAAAGTTATGACCAAATAAAATTTACAACCCCCTCGCTTTGGGGAGGTTTTAAAATTTATTAAAGTCATAACTTTCAAAATCTAAAATACTATTCCGTGAAATTAAAAACAAACTCAATCATTAACTCATTGCACTCACTGTTGGGGTAAGGGAAATAATATTTTGGGTAATTTTTGTTCCCAGGCTCTAATCACCGCAATTTTTTGGAAAGTATTATTTAACATTAGCATAAATTTGTAGTTTATGCAACGTCTGAAAGTGTTAATCTGTAACAACAAATAAATTTAATTTGCGCTATTGCAACTTTGTTTTTAAGGGTCAAAAAACATTTAATTAGTATCCCATATAAAAAAAAGTTAAATTTTTTTGAATTGTGAAATCATATAAACAAAACAAGTTCATACAAGTTACAAGTTTTCTACAAATAGAAATTTAACTTCTCCGGGAAAAAGCAATTCCACTTTTTTTCTGCTTCGAAGCAAGCTGGATCTGAGCTACACAGAAGTCTTCTCATTAAGTCCAGGTTTTGTTTTTTTAAACACTTTAAGTGTAAAAAATTCTCTGAAATTTTTTACATTTTTGTTTCTATTTTCCTGTGCTTCATCAGAAAATCTAGGTAAGATAATAGGTAAGATTTTGTTGCGAACTATCTTGTGAGAGTGTATTAACAGTTTGTGTAAACCCTGCGACATATTATGCCAGGGGTATAGATAAACAAAGCATTGGGCTGTCTCCTTGCCATAGGTCTCTAAAGCCTTAGAATTTCCCACTTCCATACATGAGACAGTTAGATGTACAAACGCTTGAAAATTTTTTTATACTCTAGACTTTAAAAGAATTTGAATAATTATTTTCAGTCTTACTCAAAAAGCGAAAAAGGTTTGGTAGTCTTTGAAATCTAAAACATGATACTTTTGAGGATACATATCTTCATACGACTTCCATTCATGTTAAAGAACTGTAAACATTTAAATATTGATGTAATAAATATAACATTCAAATATTGGCGTTGACAACATTACATTTGCATAGAAGACATTTAACACTAAATGATTATTATATACTTCTACTATTATTTAATTACCAGGATTAACAGATGGATCTGGTTGAATATTCTCTACAGGATTGACATCGCAATCTAACCAGTTCTGGTACTTAGCTTCAAACCGTGTCCTAGTTCTATATTTTTACCTCCATTTTTTTCTTTTCTCCAAGATCTTTCATAAAATCCCTTTTAATCTCATCCGATGTATTCAAACCCTTCAAAATAATGTCTGCCTCAATATCTACTATACATTTAATCTTCTTTTCCCACTTGAACTCTAAAAGTTTATAATACAAATCTCGTAGCTTCATCATTTTGAAACTGTCATTTAAATTTTTTCAATTTTAATTATTAAAAGTGGGTTTAAGGTATTAATAGTTTATTTATTTTGACCACAAACCGTTACAGCGTGCTGTAACGGTTTGTAGTCAACGCTGCAACAACTTGTGGTCAATTAAAATTAATTAATCCGCGTTTAATTAAAATAATCAACCCAATTTGGTAGTGGGTGTTTATTATTTATTTAATAACTAAAAAAAAATGAATCGAATAAAAATTTTTTAGCAGATTACATATATGCTTCTGTAAACTAATTTTTTTGTTAAATTTTTAAAATTTGGTCAAGTCAACCCATGACAACATGCAGCTACCGAGATTTTTCACAGATATTTTAACAACGTTTTGACTTTGAAGCATCCTAAAAGGTTAACAAAATTGATCTAGTGCATTATGAAATAAATATTCATTTCCATTAACAAATGCATATTAATTGCAAATGATTAAAAAAGTTAATATACAATGTTTCGTTTTGACCTTTTACCTAAACTCTGGCCCACTGTGAATAAGTTTAACAACATCAAAGGGGAGATTATTTATTCTAGTAATAGTAGAAATATCATTTTTCAGGAGATGTTTAATATCATGTAGTAAAGCATTTGCAAGAGCTGCACCTATGTTTGACGAAAACTCGTTTCTGAGTAGTACCATTGCAAATCTTGAAAATTTAACCAAGTTGTATTTTCCAATAGGATTATTTATTGATTTTCATTCACCTCTATCCTAAAAAAAGTTAATAAAATAAAATGTTCTCTGTTTTATCTACTACAATACTTTACATGACATGAATTTTATTTACTACAATACTTTTGATGATTGTAATTGCGTTTCTGAAGAGGAAGATTACCTTCAAGATATAAATGATTCATTCTTAGTTAATGAAACATCTGAAGTTAAATTTAAGAACCAAATTGTTGTTCCGTTATAATTAAAGTCAGGAAATTTTTAAAAATGTTTAAAAGGTCCCCAAGCAAAATTGAAAATTATTTACAAAACCCAGTGGACACGGACGTTAAAAAGACGTCTTTTAAACGTCTTATACACGCTTTGGACGTCTTTTATTTGGTCCGGTGCCCACTGGGAAGTACGTGAAAATTGAGTTTGGAAATGTCATTTTTCTATTCAATCCCAGGATTTCTCAGGGACAAACTTCTCTATCCCATAAACCCGGGATTGAAGATGGAATTTCTGTCATCCCTAATCCTAGCTTTCCGGAACCGTAGGATGCGGGTATTTACTTAATTTACCATTTCTATACTTATCTATTTCACACCGATCATTTCTATACCTATTCCTTATTTACTTCCATACATTTTACCGGTTTTTGCATATAATCTGGTGGATTTTTGCACGAATCTGGCGGTTTTTTTCATTTAATCTGGCGGTTTTTTGCATTTAATCTGGTGGTTTTTTGCATTCAATCTGGCGGTTTGAAAAATTATATCAATTTTATAATGCATGTTATGAATTGCTTAAATTATTAGAAGTAATAAATGTTCTACATACTTCAGTTAAAAATAAATTTAGATGTGTAACAAATAATATATATATATATATATATATATATATATATATATATATATATATATATATATATATATATATATATATATATATATATATATATACATATATATATATATACATATATATATATATATATATATATATATATATATAATATATATATATATATATATATATATATATATATATATATATATATATATATATGTATGTATATATAATTTTATATTTATATATATATATATAATATAAACTTACAATGGCATAAAACATAACAAACATAAACAAGGTATCTGAAAGAAGATTGCAAGGGTCTTGTCGTTAGAACCTTAAAAAAGCATTTAACAAATATAAGATTAAAAAAAAAAAATTATAAATTTTTACAAAATTGCAAGGCAAACAATCTGTGTCTGAAAAAATATCAAGAGGATCTTCTCATCAGATTTTAAAACAGAGTAAACCAACATATAAATTAAAAAGTAAAATGTATAAGAACAATAAATAAAATAAGTAGGAATGAACTTCTATAAACATAAAACTTCTATAAACAAAATAAAAAATAGACCAAAATATATTTTTAACTTTTACTACTAATAATAACTCAATATATTATCTATTGAAAGAATGAGGTTTTTCAGTTTTTTTTTTAAATAGGCAAAAAGTAATAGGTACTTCAAAATTAAAATTTGCCAAACAATTTTATTCCAAAGGTGTGGCACTCCATAAGTAATACAGAATTGATTAAAATTTGTTTGACTGAAAAACTCATTTAAAAAGTTATTATTTCTCAAAATATATTTACTGACTGGTTTAAAAGAGAAAAGACCCAGTGGGCACAGGACGTAAAAAAGACGTCCTTAGGACGTTCAAATCGCGTCCGTCCGTCCCATAAAATTTTAAACGTCATTTGAACGTCTTTTTTGCGTCCAATAATTTTTTCGTCCAAAAAATATCCAGAATGCTTTATTAAATTAAAAAAAAATCAGTTAAATCACGCAAGCGCTAAAACTACTTAAAATTTTTAACTAACGCATTTTCAATAAAGTTTTTTTTCAATTACAAAAGAAGTTATTTTACAACGACTAATAGACACGTCCCATCTAATTTTTGTTTTTGTTATCAATTACTTGAAAATTGTGGTAATATTGATACAGGTAATGAAGTTTTTACAGATAATGAAAGAAATGGTTTAAAACTGAATATATGCTATACTATGTCTATATATACTTGATATACTATTAGTATTGCTATATCAAGAACTAAGTTTTAACAATTTCAAAGATTTAGATATCTCATGCAGAATCGAATTTTTCAATAGGAAAACCTGTTAATGATACATGAAACAATTATCCTGATAATTCTTTGAATTCAATGTCTTTACTCGGCAACATTATGCTATTTTATAATGGAACCAGTACATTATTTAATGATCTTCTTGAAATATTGCCAAATGAAGGTTTGGAACTTCCCAAAGATTCAAGGAGATTTTTAAAAGCACCTTATAAAAAGCGACTTATAGACAGGTTTTTGCTAATTTATTTTTAAACATTTAATTACTTAAGACAAATTTATAATAATTTTTCTGTTTTTATTTAAAATTTATTGAAAAAAATAAGATTCTGTTTTCAATGTAGTTATTTTCTCCTTAATTCTGCTATTTTTTAATTCAAAAAATTGACTTTCGTGACCAAATCTTTTTAAATAATAGAAAAATGTCTCCTTAAAATCCTTACTTATAGCGTCAGTTTTAATAGTAAAAATACAAAATATATGTCAAATAAATTAAAAATGAGTTTTGCTAAAGTTTAAAATTATTAGATTTAGTTAAAATTTAGAACTATTAGTTATTATTAGTTAAAGTTAGTAGAATTAGTAGTATTAGTTAATTTAGAAATAGTGTATAATTTAGAAATAGTATAATTTAGAAATAGTTAGTGTGAAACATCAATTAGATACAATTTAAAGTTGAACAGAAAAATTAAAAAATAAATAAATAAAAAATGCTAATGCTAAAAAAAATAACACTTGTAAGAATATTTTTTACTTTATCCATAAATTTTATTTACTTGTTAATTAAGATTTTATTTTTAGGAGCGTCAACTACATCAAGTGTCAGTTGATATATATGTTTTGGTCAAATACATGTTTGTATTTGGTAATATTATGTTACATTTTTGTTTTGTATTTCAAAAACTCATATCGCATTTATTTAAATATGCATTTAGGAATCTAGAATTGATGTGTTTGTAGTTTTTGTATCTAATTTTGCTTTAACTTAAAGAAATTTTATTTGATTAAATGTATTTAACTCTAAAGTTCATTTTTATTTTTGCCTTCGGTTTTAAAAAAATAGAACAACGGTTTTGGCTATAGTTCATTTTATGTAATGGTTAATGTAATATAATTTATTTTATGTAATATGCTTAATGAATTTTTATTAGTAACAACTTCTTTAATTCATTCAGCTCCTCCAAAATTTGAAAGTCTGTGATTCAAAATTTTGCTTTTCCCAAAACAAAGTTAAAGAAAATATATGAAGTCAATGATAAATCTTAAAGTTTTACAAAGAATAATGTAAGTAATATTTTTTCTTGTAATAACTATCTTGGAAGTTATTTTAACTATCTAGGCCTTTTATCTTTGTAAATTAATTTTTTTAATACTTCTCAATACTCAAAATAGGTACCTAGTCAATTCAGCAAGAAAAAAAGAACATTTAAAAATTTCCTTTCAAAAGATGTTAGTAAAATTTTAAGTTAGTTATATATATATATATATATATATATATATATATATATATATATATATATATATATATATATATATATATATATATATATATCTTCTTCATATCCTGTAACTTCAGGGGTTCTTCAAGGTTCAATCCTTGGCCCTATACTCTTTTTAATTTACATTAACGATCTTCCAGATATTATCACATCTAAGGTAGCATTGTTCGCTGACGACACTACTATTTATTCTTGTCATGATAAAAAGCCTACATTCTCTGATTGCTTGGAGGGGGTATCTGAGCTTGAAAAGGATCTTACCTCTGCTACAGCATGGGGCTCACAATGGCTGGTGAACTTTATTTCAGATAAAAAATTTTTCGGCCAATTGTTATCGCAATAATTTTAATCTTCCTATATTTATGAATGGTAATGTATTAGATGAGTCATATACCCTTCATCTTCTATGATTAACTTTTACTTCTGATCTTTCTTTTAAACCGTATATCAAATCCATTGCAAAATTAGCATCTGCTAAGGTTGCATCTCTTTATCGAGCTCGACACTTCCTTACTCTAGATTCTATTCTCTATCTCTATAAATCTCAAATCCGTCCCTGTATGGAATACTGTTGCCATATCTGAGGCAGATCTTCTATTGATGCCCTTTCTCTTTTAGACAAGGTGCAAAAGGGCATTGTAAACATAGTTGGACCTGCTTGTGCAGCCAATCTCCAACCATTGTCACATCGTCGTGATGTTGCTTCTTTTTCTCTTTTCTACAAATACTATAATTGGCACTGCTCTAAAGCTAGTTTTTTTCTTCGAACATCAGTTCTTTGGAATTTGCTTTCTTCATCTTGCTTCCCTGATTCATATAATTTGCAATCTTTTAAGTCATCTGTCAATCGTTATCTTGCTCTACGAACTTAATCTTTTCTGTTTCAATAACTTCCAAATTCTTATAGTGGTTGTTCGCAGCCTTGTTGGAGGCGAAGATGTAATATATATTTTTTCTATTATAATTTATATATATATAAATTATAATATATAGTCTTTAATTCATTTACTTACTTATATTAAGAATAATGAAATATAAAAAACGTTTAAAGTTGAGAATAGTTTTGATCTTTACTAGTATGATTCTATTGCCAAGTTTCTTGAATGTGATCAATCATTTCTCGATACTAATGTTGCAAAAAGTACTATATTTTTTATTATGGTTAAATGTTTAGTTTTTTTTTATAAGGGTAAATTACATAAAAAATTTTGATCTGTAATTATATACATAATGCTCACTTTACAAGTAAACATAATTTACACAAAATTTTTGAATCGAATAAAACACTAATGAATTGCTCCTATGCCCAATATAACTTACACTAAATTGTCCCATATCAATTACACTAGTGTTATCTTTTGAATTTAGAAATAGAAGTTATTAAATGTTGGTGGCTCATCATGCAGTGCATTTGAGAAGGGCGTGCTTTCAAAGTAAGTATAATTTTACTATAAAAAGAGCATTTTTAATACCGCAATTATATTGCATACTTGATATACATAAATATATACGCTGGTCACAACAATCCAGTCAAAAATTTCTTTAAAAAAAATAAATTTAGTGTTAAGAAATTTGTATTTTTTGATGTTTGATGTTATGTTTATAAAATAATAATTATATATATGTGTGTGTGTGTTATTTATTTCTTTAGCCTTTCTTTTTACATACTTATCTTAACAATATTTTTTTAAGGTTATGACTGCTTTCCTGAATCCTACAGCAAAAAAAAAACTTTAAAATGCTGGTGGCAATATTTTGAAGAGTGCATCTGATCGAAAAAAAGGTGAATGACGTCAACTGTTCGAAAATTCGATTCTTGGAAATTAACAAGTGGAAGAAGAAGTTTACAAAGTTGTAATTTATAAAACTCAGCATAATTATACTATTAAAAAATTTAAATGGTTTATTATTTTTTTCTTATTCTCAAGAAGTTCTGTAAAAACATAAATTTGAACCTTACGTTTAAGTAAAGCCATGTTAGAACACGTATTTTAGACGTCAAAATAAGAACGTCTAAATTAGGTTATTTAAAGACGTCATTCGGCGTTTCCATTTAGCACTAGTTCTGTACGTCCTAAATTCACGTCTTTTAGACGTCTCAAAACACGTCTTTATTCCGTCCTAAAAAGACGTCCTAATTACGTCTTAAAAAGACGTCATCTGGCGTTGCCATTTAGAACCAGTTCTGGACGTCCTAAAAAGACGTCTTTTCGACGTCATATGGACGTTTCCGTGCCCGCTGGGGATCTTTGAATACGGCTAGGGATACGTTATTTATCCACATACACACAAAACATAAAATATTAAATACATTTAACTCGTAAACAATCAGAATTCTCATTTCAATAAAATAATGCTTCGAATGAGATAAGCGGTTTGCAAAATTGATTATACGGATTGCGCGTTTCTGACGGAGATAAAGACGTTACAACTTACTTTTTTCTGTACTTCCCCAAGCAATATTGGCATAATTTAAATAACTATATATACATATATATATATATATATATATATATATATATATTATATATATATATATATATATATATATATATATATATATATATATATATATATATATATATATATACATATACATTAGTAAAAAATCACTTATCAAACTTTTTTCATTTTACACTGAGTTTAATAAATGGAGACTCATTAGAAAGAAATGACATTTTTAGAAATAATTTATTTATATACATTATATATATATATATATATATATATATATATATATATATATATATATATATATATATATATATATATATTATTACTTTATTCTCTATTAATGTCACCTCCATTAACACATTGTGTGAGAAAAGATTAGCAGTGTCTCACGAAGTTTGAAAGATCATGTTCAGTAACGTGCTCACAACTGTTCCTCATTCGTTCTAACAAGTCATTATTTCCGATCGGAGCTATTTGTCCTCTTGTAGTATTCTTATTTTTCGAGAATGTCTTTTTACAAGGCTTTAGAAAAGGTGAGTATCGGGGTAAAAAACGAATTTTATAGGGATCACAAAAATCTGATAATGAATGATGAAATTTAATGTTGTCCATTACAACGTTTGTCCACCACAACGTTTGTCCATCACAACAATGAAACTTAACGTTGTCCATCACAACCAAACAAGCTAACGTTTATCATCACAAGGTAAACTCTTCTTCTGCCAAAATACTTTTAAGCGTATTTAAGAATCCTTTAAAGATTTCTGCTGTCACCTTTACGCTAATTAGTGCTTCACAGTGGACTATGTTTAAACAATTTAATGCTAATATCATAGTTATATTACAGCCTTTTTGTGATAACACACGTTGATTTGGGGTCGCTCCTTGGAGACTGTATCCATGGTTTCTTATCATATGAAGATTGAACGGGCTTTCATCGATGTAAATGATATTTCTGTAGCGTTGTTGCAATGTCAAGTTTAAATATCATGAAACAAATGTTTTTCTTTCTTCTTTTACCTCTGCAGTATTGCGTCTTTCACTAATGGGTCCTAATATTTTGTATGTATAATTCAATTTTTTAACCATCGCCATAATGTAGAGACATTGACATCAAGTCCCAGTTCTACCTTTAACTCCTGTAGATTATAGTTTTTGTTATCTCCAATCAATTCGTGTAGCTTCTTTCTTATTTCCTCAGTACAACCTGACTATCGAAAACCACCTCTAATACCAGGATTGATATTACCTGGTGATAAATATCGATGGACCAGGCGTCGTATTGAAGTCTCACTTTTATGCATAAGTTCCGATACTTCTTTCACACTTTTCCCTTCGTTAGTTACAAGATTAATGATCAAATTTCTTACTTCAACATTAATCTCTGAGCATTGTCTTCGTGCGTTATTCATTTTAAATTTTTAAAAAATTTAAGAGAAAATGGGCTTAAGTTGTACATAAGGAAGTTAAATTAAATAAAGTAATAAAAACAAAACTGTTTATCATGATAAAGAAAAACCACCAGATTGAATGCAAAAAACCACCAGATTTGTGCAAAAATCCAGCAGATTAAATGCAAAAACCGGTACTAAAATAATTTATTCTGAAAAAATGCTAAAAGAGCAAAAAAATACCATACGCACCTTTACCGTAGACGTTTACAGTTACAGGCATTTGTACGTAACGCTATACAAATGGCAGAACTAAGAAAGACATAGACCATTAAGAACTATAACTAAAAAAAACTTTAATACGTCGAGTTTGCTTTTGCATTTATCTTAGATTTATTAATTAATTTTGATTATGGTGTATACAATTGCGCAAAAAGGTATAAAATTCGTACAGATATATCATTTCACGAATAAAAGTTTGTATTTATTACAATAATAATAAATAGTTTTAAAAAAATAAAATAGAAATTACTATATTTAGTCTATGTTCCATACTTCATTAGAATATGTTCCATAAAAATATATTCTTTATATCTTTAATAAAAATAATTTTCCTAAAAAACATACCTACTAGAAAAATCAATTTCTAGTTTTTTCTATTTTTTTCTACACCTTTTCTGGATCAATTTAAAAGGAATACGAATCAATTTAAAAGGAATACGAATCAATTTAAAAGGAATACGAATCAATTTAAAAGAAATACGAATCAATTTAAAAGAAATACGAATCAATTTAAAAGAAATACTAATTTAAATTGATTCGTATTTCTTTTAAATTGATTCGTATTTCTTTTAAATTGATTCGTATTTCTTTTAAATTGATCCAGAAAAGGTGTAGTTTTTTTGCCACAAAGTGACGTCACAATTTTGGCTTTAACGATTTACGAAAAAAACCGCGTCAATCATTTTTAATGGTCTAAGTAGAAGATGACGTATTTTAGCAATCATAAATTATCAAGAAGCAAATCTAAAATTAAAATTTAAAATTTTTCGCTTCGATGAGACAATATGTTTCGCATTTTTTCAATCTTGTCAACTTTTTTAAATACAAAAACATAAATACAAAAATTTAAAACAAAACAGCTTAAGCAAAAAAGACTTGTTTTATTAGAAACATTTTCTTACATTGCACATGATCCTGTATAAAACGTAATATAAGTGGATTTTCTACATTTGCATATCGCGAGGTTAGAATTATTTTGTTCCATATGTTTTCACCAACCGAGAAAATCAAGAACCGAGCAAATCAGCCGTGGCGCAGTGGTAGCGCACTAGCCTCAGAAACGATCCTTGGTTCAAACCCCACCTCTGGGCAAGTTTTGCGATATCGGTTGGGTAGGAGGCGTTACTTCTTATTAAATGCTCTTCCGCAGTGCTCTGTGATAAGACCGTAAATACTTCTTGGGGCACCTAAACCAACAAAAAAAAAAAAAAAAAGTTTAAAGTTTTAAATGGACCTGCAGGCCAAATAACACAAAAAACGCAAACAAAACCGATTTGTATTAATTTCCTATACAAGCTACCACAGTTTCAAAGAAGTCATTTTAAAATATTTAAAGTACAGTTGTCTGTATTATTCTACATCCTGATTTGGAGATAGAACAATGTAATACATACTTTTTAAAAAATAAAAATAAAACAATATTATTTTGTTATAACTCCATTTTTTGTTAAAAAACATAATACAAGCTAGCATTTTTTATATATATTGTGGAAAGATGATTGTATATTTTGGCAATTAAAGTACTGTAAACGACATAAACATACACATTTTTTACACTAGTGAACAAATTACATAAATATGCCATTTTGTCTAAAATTCAATTCAACAGAGAAGATAAGTAATATATTATCTAAAGTATGTACCAAGATCTTCACAACGAAATAAAACTTTAGTTATAAATTCTAAAAAAACTAAAATATAATAAAAAAGTATATTAAAAAAACTAAAAGCAAATATCTAAAATACATTGCACAATAAAAAGATATCTTGGAGAATAATTAGTTAACCAGCACCTCTAGTTAATCCATTTAAAAACATAACATTTCAGTAAGAAACCTATTTAATAACATAACATATAAAACAAAAATATTTTGACGATAAAATAAATTATTTTTAAATACTCTTATAAAATGCAATATTTACAGCAGGCACATACTTAAACATACTTTGAAGGACATTGACTTCATCATTTAAATTTGAGCATCCTGATTCAAAGCAGAAAACTCTGGTACCACTGTCATGATTAAGCTCGTAGGTTGTTAATTCATGCTTTTGAATACACATTAGAACATGACTTACTTTATCTGGATATAGGGAACAAGCTTAAAATTAAAATAGCTTGCAATAGCTGAAAAATGTTTGAAATCCAATTTCTTCATTTGATAGACAGAAAAAAAAAAATATTTTTTGAAGAACAGGAATTGCTCTGATTAAACCAAGGGGACTTAAAAAAGGGGACTAAATACTTCAACAGGAGCGATGGGACTAAATACTTCAACAGGAGCGATGGGACTAAATACTTCAACAGGAGCGATGGGACTAAATACTTCAACAGGAGCGATGGGACTAAATACTTCAACAGGAGCGATGGGACTAAATACTTCAACAGGAGCGAGTGCTCTATCGATTTGACTGAAGATATTATCAACCTCTTGTATACTAGGATTCCCTGGTCTTAAACTTTTGTTAAACTACCCTAATTTTTAGGTAGTATATCACAAACTAAAAAACAACAAATTTACATGTTCATTTTTCATTACTTATATTTATTATGCATTTAAATTTACAAGAATTTAACAGTCTTTCTTTTTGGTTACAGACTTGAATGAAACATTTTCTCCCTTTCTAAATTTTATACGGCTGATCAGATTGCCTAAGCTTTTTTCTCACATTCTGTGTCCAAGTTTTAGGTGCTGACTCATTTGCTAGTTTTTCCTCAACGTATGAGTAGACGACGAGCTGGTGCTCTTTTAGGATTATCATCATAATAACCAAGAACAGTCAGATCAGTCTCTCTCTCTCTCTCTTTCTCTCTCTCTCTCTCTCTCTCTCTCTCTCTCTCTCTCTCTATATATATATATATATATATATATATATATATATATATATATATATATATATATATATATATATATATATATATATATATATATATACATATATATATATATATATATATATATATATATATATATTTATATATATGTATATATATATATGTATATATATATATATATATATATATATATATATGTATATATATATATATATATATATATATATATATGTATATATATATATATGTATATATATATATGTGTGTGTGTGTGTGTGTGTGTGTGTGTGTGTGTGTGTGTGTGTGTGTGTGTGTGTGTGTGTGTGTGTGTGTGTGTGTGAACCATAACATGTTTTTAGCTTGAAAGTTTTGTTGTTGTTTCTCTGTAATAAATACATCCGCTACCATTTTGGCGTAAATAACTTTTGATTGGATAAAACGGAGATAGCACATTATAATTTAAATTAATTAAACAGGATTAAGGGAAACAAAATGCAATGTCAGGTATAGTAAGTTAATTATTTTTTTACTGATTTATTTGTAAAAATTAAATATTTTATCCATAAAAAGAAAAAAATTGATCTAACTCAATTTTTTAGATTTGTGGAGATAGAACAAAATAATTCTAACCTCGCAATATAATATATTTGTTTATATATAAGCGCAACTTTATTCTTATGCATTAAAGCTGCGCTTTTTTAGAGAACCCCCTTGAAAAGTGTTGATTAATTGCAATCGGTATAAGAGTTTATAAAATAGTTTGTCTTTCAATTACATACGGTATTGGACAAAAAACTTGCAACCAACATCAAACAATGCTAAAAAGTGTTCCTAATTTTACATGTCATAAAAACGAAACGAACTATACTACCACAGCAAACAGTTCAGAAGTCTGGAGTCATAGCATGCCATGAAATGAGCAATCAGCTGACAGGTGACAGCACACAGGCAGAATTTCTTTGACAAGTGCCATTTTGCAGCGGACAAAACAAGTGCAACGTTTTTGGTTTGTTTCATTTTCTTAAGTCTAGTCCGTGTCAACGTCACGGAAGTTTTTTAATAATTAAAGGAAGTATCCAGAAGTTTCCAGAAGTTTCCAGAAGCATGCAGAAGCTTCCAGAAGTTTCCAGAAGAAGCATCTGGAAACATCTAGAAGCATCCAGAAGTATCCAGAAACATTCAGAAGCATCCAGATGCATCCAGAAGCTTCCAGAAGCATCGAAAAGAAGCACCTAGAATCTTCCAGAACAGGTTCACACAGATTCATTTATTATATAAGAGACATGTAAACCGACATGTAATTCAGTCAGTATATGGAAGTCAATCAGTCAGAATTATCAAGACAGTTTATCGAAGTGAGTTTTATCAAAGTGTTTTATTAAAGAACATTAATACAAGAAGTGAAATACAACAAGTGTTTCATTACATCAATACCGTCCACATCCAACCAAGACGTTGTGTTCCACAGAGCGTTATTGTATCATCACAAGGTAAATGTAACACGGTAAGCCTTAAGAAGCGTGATTATTTATTTTTATTATTTTTATGACTTCAAGTGGAAGAAAGAAGATTATTGGCGATTACGTAAGTGGAATGTCACAAAAAAGTATTTGTGATAAATATCGCGTGAAAAAATGGACCGTATGTAGTATAAGACTATGTTCCAAATACCGTTCAACGGTGAAGTTGGCAGCAGATAGCAGATAGGTGGATGACCCCGTTCCACGATCCCTGGGTATCATCAGTCAAGATACAAAAGCAATTAGAGCTGCCTATATCGGACCGAACAATCAGACGACGTGCTGTTGAAGCCGGATTGTTTTCTCGACGCCCTGCAAAGAAACCGCTGATTTCACTAAAGAACCAGAAGAAAAGACTCCTGTTTGCGACATCTCGTATTGACTGGAATGTGCAGAAATGGCGAACTGTCCTGTTCAGTGATGAATCGAAGTTCAACATCATTGGGAGCGGTGGCATTTGCCAAGTTCGTCGACCGGCCGGAAAATGCCTCAATTTACGTTACTGGCATAAGACCGTGAAGCATGGTGGAGGCAATGTAATGGTCTGGGGATGTTTTTCTGCTAACGTTCTAGGTCCAATACATCAAATCAATGGAATAATGGACCGTTTCATGTATAAAAATATCCTGAAAGATGTTATGTTACCTCATGCTGAATGGAATATGCCAATAAAATGGGTTTTTCAGCAAGACAACGATCCGAAACACACCACCTATCGGTGATGGGTTGACCGCCTCAATCTCCGGATCTCAACCTTATCGAGAACCTGTGGGAAATCGTCAACCGCAGAATTAATTGTTAAGGTGTTCGTAATAAGGATCAACTGTTTGAACAAATCCAAAAGGCCTGGGCAGCGATTCCATAAAGATTCATTGATCACCTGATCGAATCTATGCCTCGAATATGCAAGGATGTGATTGACAACAAAGGATTCGCCACGAAAAATTGATAGCGAAATACAGCTTAGTCAACATTTTGTGGAATTGCACTTGTTTTGTCCAGAAGGAAATCAATTTTTTTAAATAGAGAATTAATTTAAAAATAAGTTCTTATCGAATTCAATATCGAGGACCTTT